AATGATGTACACCCATTTCCAGACCCTTGCTAAAACAAAAAAACAGCGCCATCTGACGGAACATCTATAGCTTCCCGATGGAGGCATACCTTCACAAACCCAAATGGGAGAAAGGGTTAAATATACACCGCTCAAGCTTTGATTTTAAAACTATTCATGTGCCAGTGATCAGTGTTTGGGTGAGCGGTCAATGTTTTCAATGAGCGAGCGAGCGAAAAAAAAACGCGATTAAAATGCGGTCGGTTTCCGGTCGGACAAGACCGCGTGGTCGGAAATTAAGCGATAAGTGGTCGATGTAAAAGCGGAAGGTTGGGCGAAATGAGTACTGTAGGACCATGTTTCTCCGACGAAGTCTCGACCGACAATAATGCTGACAATGGACGTTAGATAAACACGCATTGTTTGCAACTGGAAGCTTATCACCCGTTATATCAGAATCGTCCACAACAGAGTATACAGATAAGATGTTATCATTTAAACCTTTCAAAGATAAACATTATGCAAATATCCACGAAACGCTAGTTGTAGTCTTTTCTGCTAGTGTTTTAAAACACTAATTTGAGCAACGTTATTTCGCAATTTCGATCTTTTGTAAACCTGGGGTGATGTATCAAGGTCTAAAGTAACCGTTTTATCAATTTTTGAAAAATCAAGAAAAAAGTTAAAATTTCCCTTCATGCTACCTTAATATTGATTACTTTTCTTTCAAGAGACGTGTGTGCATTTCTTGAAGCGCTGAAATTCATAAACCCTGTACAGAATTATTTAACAGGAAAAAAAAATGCAAATTTCGATGATAATAGTTTAACATAGTGCAACCTAAAATGCAATATTAGACATTTTTGTAGTCAAGAAAGTACCAGGATGTATAACCTTTGGGGGTCACGCTTACCGTATCCATCATGATTCACGTTAGCATCAGTAACTCTGGAAAATACAACTTGATCTTACATTATGCAGTAGTGCAGTCTTGCAATTCATTTTTTTAATTTGAATTATGGCTGGTCATACAAGACATAACAGAAGTTGGGTGTTCATTCTTAGAACGTGTTATAGAAATGTACTACTGTTTGGAATCGGTAATTCGTGTTTGTTCAAATATGCAGTTGTTATCGCCATGGTTACATCTACTTCTGAATAATTTAAAGCTGATTCCCGACTGTCATATATCATTTAAAAACCTGTATGAGAAATATTTGTGTAGTGAACTAAAATTTTGTATATTTTGTGTAATTTCGCAAGTACCACTATGATGCGTAAGGTGTTGTTACGTATTTATTGTTTTTGTTTTTCTCTAAGTCTTCTTGTAAGTAAGTATTAATGGGCTATCGATATTAAATAAAATTAACAGAACCGAACTGATTCGTTTCAACCTGCCACGTACTGTACGATCTGAATGTTAAAGGGGGGTGGTCATCGCGCCGCGTCCTGTTCAATATGGGACTCATAGCGACGTATACAACGCGTGTAAAATACATTGTTTGTTTACATGAAATTGAACACGCGCTGCGCGAGGACCACCGACATATTTATATTTGCTTCTTCAAGGAGAAGTTTCAATTTACTTTCGAGTGAAAAGAATGCTAATGGTTTGTGATGCCCATCGTCTGATAGTAAAGCGCCATATTCATTGTGGAAGGCGCCATATTCTCCGTTTAGCGCGCCTCGCATATTTGTTGATACGCGGCCTCTAAATCGAACACGACATGGTGCATCCACTGCGCATGGTGTTTCAATTTGAATTTAATTTACGCGTAATTGACAAGTTTTTATTATTTTGTTTACAGCTGAGTGTTACAGGGAAGGATGTGAACAATTTTTCCCGTTCCCAGAAGGCGTCGAGCTGCCCCCGCCAATAGAGGAAGAAGAATGAAACAATTCCATTGTTTGAAAACTAAGAAGAATGTTAGATAACATAGTTTTCAAGAAAAGATGATATTATAAGATTTACGAGCTCACTTTAATCTAGATAGAATTTGGAACGAAATATGTATTTTTAATAAGTCTATGTTTATGATTTACTAGTATTTTGAAATTGCTTCTTTGCAGCACACGATGATTACCACAAGAAAAGTAAGGTGAAATATTCCTGATTATTAACTTTAGAGTCTTGCGAATGCACCAATCAGCATACCCCTTTCATTTTTAATACATATCTATTTGTAGAATCAAACAATTCGTGTCCTAAATCTAACGAAAAAACGCGGATTGGTCATTCGCTTCCATGACGCTTATAAATATTCAAATTACATTTCCCAAATAAGGACTTTTACCGACTAATTTTGGAATGTACCGTAAAATCTGTATTAGAAGCCGCATCCCTAATAGAAGTCGCACCCATTCTTTTTTAACAATTGGGAACCAAAAAATCATCATTTCTCATATGTGTAGATGCTCTAATAGAAGCCGCACCCCCTCTATTGGATTGTACCATTTTAATAGAAGCCGCGGTTTCTAATACAGATTTTACAGTAGTGGGGAAAAAAAATTATTTCAATACAACGAAATAACCCTCCAAAAACAAGCTGCTCTTTAATTGGCCAAACTGTATTTTCATCGGAAAAACACTATTTATGCAAACTATTCATTGTTTGGATAGCAACATCAGCGGCATGTCCTGGTAACGTTGAATTCTAGGAATTTAAATCTTGATTTATGAATTAACATTGTCTAGGAAGAAAGGTCAGGTTCAATGATGATAGCTTGCTGTATGGATTTATTTTCTGAGAAAACAAACACAACGTTTACCTAGTTATTACAACATAAAATCCTGTGTGTGTGTGTAA